GGGGGGGGGGGGGGGGGGGGGGGGGGTTGTGGCACTGCTGCTGGGCCTCTCGGGCACCTCCATTCAAAAATCAACAGTACGCTAACCTTCGCTTTCCCTTTGGGCGCGCAAGTGTGGGAACGGTCGTCAGTCTCCTCGAGAGGGAGGGAGCCGTGGCCGCATGGCTAAAACAAGCAACTAATTCGCCCCCCTCCGTTCGTGCGACGTGTGTGTTGCGGCGACGCCACTAAAACAACAAAAAGATCTCGGATCTCGGGCCGCTGCTGCGGACTCCGGCGGCCGGCAACACCACCCGGCTCCGGTACACGGCGCCGGAGGTGCTGGGCGGCGAGGACACGAGCCTAAAGAGCGACGTCTACAGCTTCGGCATGCTGGTGCTGGAGTGCCTCACGAGGCGGCTTCCCTGGCAGCAGGAGGACGAGGACGCCGCTACCACCGTAGCCGCCATCGATGATGGGACGACTACGTCGTCGGCGGTGGAAGATGCTCGGCTGTCGCGGGCCGTCATGAGCGGGGACCGGCCGGGCGTGCCGGGGGACGCGCCCCGCGACCTGGCGCGCGTCGCGAAGGACTGCTGGGCTCACGACCCGGCCTCCAGGCCGGACATGGTCCGCGTGCTGGAGGACCTCTACCCAACGGGGTTGGCAGCGAGAAGCACGGCGGTGGCAGTGGCTGGAGAGTTCGGTGACGCTGTGCCTACCGCGGCCACGACTGCAGTGGACGGCGACGGCGGCGGCGGCGACGACGACGACGACGACGACCATCATCATCATCGCAATGGCAAGGCACGTGTGCTGCATGGTGATGAGACTGACAGTAGTGGCCCCAAGCCGGGGCCCAGGGGCGCCGGGGCGGTCAGGGGGGCGCGGGGGATCAGCGACGGGACGACTCCTTGGAGTTTCGAGCTCTCCTCCCCTAGGAAGATGTTCCCGTTCCCGTCGTCGGGCATGGGCTCGCCCCTCGCGACCATGACGACCGCGGGAACTCCCAGCAGCAGCAGCAGCAGGAGGCGTACCGCTTCTTTGGAGACCTTCTCCACTCCCGCCGTGTCTTCGGCGACGTCTTCGGCAAGATCCAGCGCGTCGCGCCACGTCCGCGGGGCTTCGGCCGGCGGCGGCGGCGGCGGGGGGGGACGGGTCCTTGGTGTCGGTGGTGGTGTTGCTGGCAGAGGCGTGTTGTTTGCGGAGCGTTCCCACACGATGCCGGCCAGGACGCAAAGGTCGCGCAGCAGGAAGGGCGACGGGGCGAATGCCCCCAGCAGAGCCGAGTCGTTGCCCTGCGTACCGTGATAGCGCTATTATAGAGATGGATGGATGGGTCAATAGAAAGAGTATCAAATAGTGAACAAGCATTAGTCTAAAGTGTACGACGGTGGGCTAAGTTGGAGTTAGGTTTGTTGTCGAAAGCTATGACTCGGCGGAGAAGACTTTTTTCGCTTTTTGCGCCGCACCGCGAAAATGTTTTGCAAAGAAAGATGAATAATCAACCGTGGTGATATCGTTGATATCCTGTGTGTATACAGTATTCAGTATACAGTATACAGTATACAGTATACAGTATACAGTATGTTGTATCTGACTCAGCTTCCGACGGGAGGGAGCAATGGGCTGAGCAGATGTGCATGTGTTTTGTGTAGGTGATCTGGATCAGTATTGGGGAAGGAAGCTATCATCATGCTGTGTCAAGTAGAAGGAAAGCGAAGAGGAGATAAGGGGGGGGGGGGGTTGCACCGTTATTCGCAACGAAATTGATTGAAGGACATGTTTGTAGAGTAGGTCTGCCTGATTGTGGCGTGTTTTTGTGCAGAGAGTCTTGTTTTTATTTTGGGTGTATGTGTGGTGCGTGGTTTGTTCACTGGTAGTCACGAGTTTGCGGAAATAGTAGTAAACGGAGCGATCGACCAGCAGGGCGATACGATCTTTCTGAAACACGTGATAAAGGTATTGTCGTTTCTATATACAGTATCACTTCAAGCCAATGTTGTTAGGATTCATTGATCGGCGGTTCGTTCAGCCGTTTTTTTGTCAGCCTACCAATGGCCGTCGCTTCTGTTGTCGGAAAGTATCCCCCTTTGTCAAGTCTGTCTACAGGTAAAGCTTGGTCACGGCTGCTTTCTTTCCCAATGAATTGATTTGAACTAAAAATTTCTTGACTAGAGGCGAGAGCCGACCGAAAGACTTCGTGCCGCGCTGTCGGGATGTCGGGATGGGCACGCGCGGTTACTGCCAAGAGGCAATGGCTTGGGGTTTGCTGCATTTCATTTCTGTCACATCACGTCACAAAAAAGTGCAGGGATGTATGTGTTCACGGTGTGGAACCTCACCGCGCGGTGCGTTTTCTTATTTTTTTTACACGGATCACGGTGGGGTGCGGTGTAAAGGTATGCACGCGTGGCCACGGTCCTGCCGACGACGCCAAGTGTAAGGTATGCACGCGTGGTGCAATCTGGTAGACCCGTTAAGAAGAGCAGCAGCAGTAGATGTTGCCTTGGGTATCGGTAGGAATGACACCGAGGGCCCCAGCATCCTCTGCTCAAGCAGGGGCTACTAAGATCCTGTCCCCTGTTTTATCCTTCCGCGGGAGTTATATCTCTCCATGCCTTCTAGTAGGAACCATAATTTTCTTTATTCCGTCTACACATGTGAATCCTGTAACAGCGGTGCGTTGCGGTTTTTTCAACTCGAAATGTGACGGTTCACCGCGCCATTGAAAAAACCACACCGTGAACATCCCTGCAAAATAACTTAGTGCTTTTTTGTTACTGGCGACGCAGACCCCACCCAAGTTGCAATTACTTGGGGAATTGCGGAGCCCCTCAGAGCTGGCTGACAGTCTTTGGGACACCCTTTTTTTACCGCAGACAATTCTTCTTCCCCTCGCTTACGCCATCTGTGGATAATCTACAGCCTGTGGTCGCGATGCCGCCGCATGCACACCCACCCCTTGACACCAATAAGCATCGATCGCCAACAACTCCATCCGAGATGGAGGAATTAACAAGGGCGCGATTTCTACCCACCGCCCCCGCCGCCGTAGGTGAGCATGTTGGAAAGTGATTCAGGTCTTGATTCTCGCCGAGCAACGCTTGGTGGAAACGACAGCCATTTTTGCTGTGGCGGGGAACCGCTATTGTTGTTGTTGCTGTTGTTGTTGTTATCTTCACATTATAAACCGTTCCGTTCTCTCTACCCAGTACCTTCTTCTGTCCGTACTAGTCCCAACACTTTACGCGGCCGGTTACCGTGGTCACAGGCTAACTGACCCAAAAAGGGTACGATACGGACCGTGGGTGGGTCAATTTCCAGCATGAATGATGGCGATTCTTGCTCTGTCCTCACGAGAGAGACAGCACGACACATGAACCGTATGCACATGTACCCCCTCTTCTTCCTCTGCAAACAAACGACCACAGGTTCAGGTACGCGTGGTGCACTCCATCAATCGTCCTTTACCATTCATTGTTTACTGTCGCGGACGACTTGGTCGCGCTCGTTCTTGTTCCCATTGGCTCACGGATGGCCCTGGCTATCATTTTGACCGTTCATCGCTCTGCGATTGGCTGCACGATCACCCTTCCTTCTGGCAGCAACCGGGACAACACAAGCCAGTACAGATTATCTGTTGCGACCTCCAAAAAGAAAATAAAAAATGCAAATAAAAGAATCGGTTTTACTGTACTGTATCTATTTAGCAAAAGCAGACGACGCAACAAGTGAAAAAGAGAGAGGGAGCCCCTCCAATCGAAGCAAACTACTGGTCTGGTGCCTGCCGCGGATGCTTCTGCCGCCACCAAGGGCAACGATTGATTTTTGACGTCGACTGCAACAAGCCGGGAATACGCATGTACGAGCACACGTCCGATCCGCGGCAGCTAACCCCTCCCCTCCCCCCACGGCAATGCTCCGTCCTCTCGAGGACGCGTGGTCAATGGTCTAACCGCTAAGGCATGCAAAACAGAAGAGTACGCCCCCCCCCCCCCCCCCCCCCCCCCCCCCCCCCCCCCCCCCCCCCCCCCCCCCCCCCCCCCCCCCCCCCCCCCCCCCCCCCCCCCCCCCCCC